CCCCATCCCATCCTGATTAATGCCAGCTCTCAAGCGTTAGTCAGGGTGAAATAGATAATGCACAGATACCATTTTTAACCATTTGCACATCTGTTGCACGTGAGGGTGAGGATGGAGCCAGGACAGACACCTGGGATTTCCCATTGAAAGGGAGGCACCACGGCAAACATAGCCAGTTCAGTCCAGACTCTCACACTGCTCTGAATCCAGGATCCTTTGCAATGAAGCCCAGAGCTCACTCTCCGTTCCTCCTCGGGTGTCCTTTCCAGGGCACAAAACACAGCCACCCACAGTCGCCCTACGCCCTGCACAAAGTGGGACTGATCGCGAGGGGCACGGATACTGACTATACCCCACTCCAAAGAAAGCACAGGCTAAGTAATTCGCCGGAATGTTTTGATATGTGTACCTGGAGCTGCTCGCACTGTTATCTCTGTGCCAGTGACAAACCATAAGGAGCCACCCTGAAAGCCAACCCACCTGCACCGGAACGTACAAGATCCCCTGAACAGCACAGGCTAGTCTCGGGAGTCCCCTAAATGGGTCCTCCAGTAACGTTGAGCAAGAGTCAATCAGAATGTAAAAACTTACCCACCGTGTCCCTCACTCTCAGCCAGTGGGTAAGAGATGATTTCTTAAAGATCTTCCTGACTTGGATCCTTCAGCTACGGCAGACTAATAATAACTGGATTTGTATTTCTTGGAGTAACAACACTATGGATACTTCTATTTTATCTGGGAAGAGTTAAACAGTTAGGAGGAGAGTCTTTGGGCCAGCCCCTGATGCTTTGTCCCATTTGATTTAATGCAATTCCATTGATACTTGGAGCCTGGAGGTTAGACAGGCGGGCTAAAGAATCATTGTTTCTGTGGAATTTGTCAGGATGACCTCAGGTTTGTGTATTTATCTTTGACAAAATAGACAAAATAAACATGCACACAAATCCTAGTCTCTTAATTCAAAAGAAGTGGGAAAGGAAGAAGAAAAAGCCTCTGTGCCTGCAGCATTGCTGAAGCTTTTGGACATACCAGATTTATACCTATTCCACTCACAGTGGTTTGTTGTGTCATATGTTTCATGCAAAGCAAAGTGTTCACTGTAAAGGAATCCTGCCTGCTTCTCCTTGGTATATGGTTGGCAGAACCCCACCAAAAGCTATACGCCTATTTTATTTATTTAATCATATATCTTGACTGCAGGCAAGAAAAGCAACTTATAACCATATGTTCATCATTATCAAAAGAGAATATAATTAGAATCAAATTTAAAATAAAAATAGCAGCTAGGCAAGGATTAAAAAAATGAACAAACTCAGATTCCCAAAAGTTTGTCAAAATGACTTTTTTTTACTATATGCTTAAAGATTTCAATACAGAAAGGCCAGATAACTTCCTTTGGGAAGGAGTATACAAATAGGGTGTCACCACAGAGCAAGCCCTGTATGTGGCTGAGAATAACCTCACCATAAAAGCCAGTGTTTCTCCAGTTAACTGTAATCCCAGAGAGGAGGTGTATACAGGAAAAACACTTTCTTTAACATCTCAGGCCATGGCTACTTCAAAGTCAAGATCAGCTCCTTGAATATGAACAGGAATGATTTCTAATGGAGCTCACCTACAATTAATGTATGTTATCCATGTGATCAAGCTCTAGACCAAAGTTGAACCACGGTATTCAGATATTTCAAAAGTTAAAGGCTAAGGCAGTTCCAGGTACTACAGTCAAGCCAAGTGGTTACTGATGTATGCCCAGGCCACTAGTCTCCAGAGACTATTTTCCACATTATCATCTAAAGGTATTCCTCTCTGCATGTTCCAAATTTGAACTAGCGCTAGAGACCGATTCCTGTCTGCATACACTCACAGTTGAGACAAAGCTTGTGATGAGTTGTCTCAGTTTTATGCAACTGTAGAAATAGAACAAAGTGGGGTGGACAGTTTTCTCCACCTACAGTGGGTAATACAAATTCTTTTTTTAAAGAAACAGAGGCTTGCAAACCCAAGCAAATAAGCATAGCATTGCACTGTAAAATTGTTTGATAAGACTATTTTGAGCTTTTTATTTTTTTTGATAGAAATTGAAGTTCTTCATTAATCATTATTTCCCCAAAATTATAGAAAGTCCGGTTTCCATTCTTCCATTCGATGACTATACAATTTTTAGCATCAGCGATTTCATTTTTAAAAAGATGCTTCATGCAAATTTATAGTTTTTCAGAATCGTTTAATTTAGCCACCTTGGGGGCTCCAATATGCTCTGTAAAGGGATTATAAACTGAAAAGGAGTTTTGTTTTGTGCAGAGAGTTCCTAAGGAAAGCGATATGGTCTGAAAAGTTGATCCAGTTGAGCCAAAAGCAACTGGCACCCGAGTGATCCTGGAACCCATTCAGTTGGATTCTTTTGATGCTGTCCTGCTTTTGGTGTAAACGGCAACACCTACTAAGGTGTTAGAACTATTCAGATACACTCAGAATAAATGTGCAGGCAGTTGTATGCACAACACAATAAAAAGGAAGCGTCTGGATGATAGCTGTCTTTGCTCATTTTTGCTTTTTCAGTCGCAGTCGCGCAATAAATAAGGTCCTCTAATGCTGGACAAATTAAAAAACATAATGCAAATCATATGTCAAACCAACCTGACTGTTGGGCTGCAGGTTAGATTTTTAAAAATTATCCAGAGACAGCAGACACAGTCCAGCCAAATTTAATTATTTCTAAATTTCACTCATTTCAACGGGTGGCATGCATATTCACTCATAATACAGTCACAGTCATATGTAAATATATAAGCTTTAACGATGAGTCCTGAACAGTGGCTTGATTCTGTCTGCCCACCCTGTTTCTCACGATCTCTGCAGTTGGTTAATTAGTAAAGGTGCGTCTGGGCTGCACCACTTCAACCTGCAAGTCGAGGCTCACGTGACTGACTTGTTCCATACAAAAATGTTCTCCACGCAGAAAACTAGGTGTCAGGGAGAGAGCTTCTAGTCTAGCCTTCTCCATGATATGCTAGGCACCAGATTTTCTTTTTAAAAGGATAATTCCATGACATGAAGTCCCACCTGAACTTTGAAGTGGTACAACCTCAACACAACTCTATCACTCCAGTGAGACACGGGCCACTTCTATGGCCTTTGATCTCATCTGATCATTTCTTTCCCTCACTTCGTTATAGTGACAAAGCTTTTAGCATCGGGCAGCTTGGGGTCTTATCAATCGGAGGGAAATTCCTACAGAACAGCAAGAACCTATCCTGTCATTGGGAAATTCTATTGTTGAAGCTGACATTTTCAAAACAGAAAATAGCCAAGTCTCAGAGAAGACCATTGATCAGTATACTTCAAAACAGATATGGGGAAACTACTTTACAATCCTTCAGCGTACCTCACTTTCCCTAACAGGGACCCACCAGAGTAACTAATCCATTATTAGTTCGTGTATCTTGACTACAATTCTTATGCCAAGTAGGTGCAACCCATCTTCTGATTATGTAGTGCTTTAACTCTAGGTTAGAAAGGACACAAAAAGGACCAAGTTCCATTCCACCATAAGCAGGGTCTTCAACCCTTAAATGACACAGCTAGTGTTTGTTCATGGCATTTTGCAAATTATATATGTGGGTGTGCGTGCGCAAGTGCCTTTGTCCACCACTGGTAATTAGTGGACCCTGTAGTCCACCTTGCCCCAGTAGATAACACCATCATTGCCCAGCTTATACAATTCAATATGCAAGGTGGTCACTCCTGGAGTGGTCACTCCAGGAGCCAATGCAGATGAGCTTGGGAGTCTTACAATTTTCTGCTATTCTTGCAATTCCATTCTATACCGATATTCCCAAGTACTAACTATAGGACACAACACTCACAGGTACTCTCAGAACTTACAGTTCCCTTTGTAGAAAAGGGATTCCATACAACTGGCACTACAATATAACAGGGGCACAGCCACACAAGCACCCTCTGTGTCACCATCAGAAGACAAGGAGGGTGCTAATTACATTGTGGGAAAGAGGGCTTTGATTGAAAGATTGCCCCATAAACTGACCCCCTTAGAAATACCAGAGGGAATGAAATTAACGGGATTCAAAAATCACAGAGTTAACTTTAATCCTGAATTACTTGAAAAATATGTCCTGCAGTCCTACCCTCTGCTCTGTAATCTCTACCCTCAACACCCCCATCTTTAAAAATAACGCATAAATGAGTCTTAAAAACAATACTGGCTCACTGTAAAAGAATGCAGTGGCCCAGAGAACTATCCCTTTGTATCCTTCTTGCTTCAGGAAGGTGGCAGTATTGCTTTGGAATTACGGCATTAAAGAGTGAGTGAGCCTTGGTCTTTCACAGTGAATGACTCCATACCATTACCATAATATACCAATGGATTCTGAGGAATGACTTATTCTCATGAAATGTAAGATTGCGGTGATAGAGAAACCACAGCAAAGCACTGCATCCAAACTGTGTAGAACCCCAGCCAGCCAGAGCCTCTTGCATTTGTACACACAGCTCTGGAGTTTTCAACTAGCTGCCAATTTTATATTTTCTAAGCAAACACTGCAATTGACCACCCAGCTGCCTCAAACATCCTTGATAATACCCAAGTGCATTCGCTTCAGCATGGCAAGCTTCTGATCTTCTTGTTATCTCTGTTATACCAGAGATCAAACAACACCACCCTTCCCCATGTTGAGTGGGTGACATTCTGGAATGGGTGCAAGATGGAGGGGAATGTCTCCAGCACAATGCAGAATATGATTGTGCAGTACATTCAGATGGTTACATGTAGAGTTGCCCTTGGACTGCCAGAACAGAACACTTTCAAAAATGCTAATTCGTTTCTAAAATCAATGAAGGCATAAAAACAGACATACACGAGCCCTCTGCTCCGCTCCACTACACTTTACAATGCTGAACTTATTTAAAGTTACTGTGACCCTACCAAACCGAGGGACCGACTTCAAATTGACCACCTCCTGTCCTTACACGCCATCACTCACCTTATTCACGCTGGAAGTCCTCAACGAAGAAGCCCTCAATGGGGCTTCAACCCTCTCTGGAGATCTGGTACATGTTTTTTGTTGCAAAGCTTCAGAAAACGGCAATCGGTCGTTTGGCTCTAGCTTTATTTCTCTGGTGATGTCATTTTAAATATTTTGCATGTTCCATTTGTTATTTGTACTTCTAAAAAAAATTGATGCCTTTCTGCAAATTCATGTTTGTCCAATTAGTCACAACCCTAGAGGAACAAAGCTGGCTGCCTGGATGCTGGAGTAAAACATCAAGGCCGGCATAGACAGGTCAGCACCTGACTTGGAGGGATGGGAGGAGATACACCACTTGTCAAGACAGCCTGTATGGATTTCTGATACAGGTCTCCCCATATATATGGATATGGATATATGTAAACAGATATCCATATACACGCATGGATCAGGATCACTCAGAATAGTAGAGGGTCAGGGTTTGTTTGTTTGTTTTTTAATAAGCTAGACGACAGACATAAATTGTAAGTAGTGAAACAGCAGAAAGAGAGGGAGCAGACAGAAAGGAAAATGCATTTCTTCATTTGCAGAGTAGCCTCTGTGAGAGCAAGCCCTTGACAGCTTTACGACTCCCTGGTTATTTTACTTGCAAGCTGTTTAATGAGAAACAGTCTCCAGCTGAGGCTTGCAGGAGAGGGAAGTTTTAAGAGAAATTCTTGCGGTGTTAGCCCTACCTGATCTGAATTTGCTCCGAATCAGCATAGAATGCTCAGACCCCAGGAGTGTCATGGTGAGTGATGCCTTGTGATAATTCCCAGTGCCAGAAAGCCCCCAGCTCAAACCATTAACCGGCTCCAAGAAGAGAAGCTGACCACGACCAAGGGATCACAATTCATCTAGCCTTCCTTCGAGTGTAGGTGATTGCAGAAAGCAGCAGAAGGGTGACTTAGGCAAAGTTTGGTCCCATCCAGCACTGACCCTCCAGAAAAGCCTACTACATGCCCTTGCACTGTGTTGGGCTAATTAACTTTTAGCTAGCAGACCCCTCCTTTCTCAGAGTTTACTATCAGCAACATCACCGGGTGTCCTGACTGATGTCATAGTCTTGCAGGGAGCTGACTATCCCTAAAGGGTCTTTAGGAAAGACAGAAGTTTGATATCTGATCCGCTATTACTACCAACAGGAACTTGGCCAATCAAGAGGCTCCCTCCCTCTGACTGCCGGGGTTCAGAGCAACTCTGAAATATCAACAGACTCCTGCTTAACTCTTTCCACTGTACTGGAAAGCCGCTGCTACCAGGAATTGGAGGAGGAGGAGGAGGAGGGAGGGCTCAGCTGCCTGATCCTTGCTGTGGATTGTAATAGCTCGTATATGAAGAAAAGCATTTGGCTGAGATCCGTGGAGATTTGCAGTTGGCGTAGTGTCTCTGTGTGGCAGGGTTTGTTTGTGCTTTAATAAGATACAGGCAACTCACCGATTCATCCTTCCACTGATAAATCTCAAAAATAACGGTCGAAAACCTCACAAAATCCCGATACTCCATGTGGACACAGCTTTGCTGTGCAAACTTAAAAGCACAGACTTGGAGAACAGAGCTACTCTGCAAAGCCAGAAAGTCTATAACTTACAAATGCCTTCCCACACTGTTAGTGCTAGTATTATTCTCCATATTCCTCAAACACATCTCCATCAGTCTCCAAATCTGCCCAGATAAAGAATTCCCAATTCTTAGCCAGAGACAGCAGCACAAGGATCTTTGAAATTCTCCTTAAGGCTGATGGTCCAGTTTATTATTATGTAAAAGTAAACACCATCTCTCCAGGCTAAGGTGCCCAAGGCAGTTGTGCAGCAGGATCCAGGGTCTGCTTTCTGCAGGAGGGAAGGTTCCCCGACACAGTTTTTGGAGATCCCCACACACATCACCCTATCCAGCAGGAACTATGTAGCATTTTCATGGGACTGGATGGCACACAAAAATCCACCACCACCAAAGCAGTTGATCCAGCTTAAATTTGGGTACAACCTGGGGGGTCTTTTCAGACATTATAATTAGTGCACCTAAGTTATGGCTGAGCCTACCATCACCATGCTGCCCCTCTGAGAGATGTTTTATTTATTTATTTATTTATTTTTCAGTTTATATCCTGCCTTTTTCCTACAAAGGGCTCAAGGCAGCTTACATCATTCTCCTCCTCCATCTTATCCCCACAACAACAATCCTGTGGGGTAGGTTGGGCTGAGTGTCTGTGACTGGCCCAAAGTCACCCAGTTGGCTCCATGGCTGAGTGGGGACTAGAACCCAGGTTGCCTGAGTCCCAGTCCCATGCTCTTAACCACTACACCACACTGGAGAGTCTTTGGCTATGAGCCATCAACTGTAGAATGTATGTATGTGGGGAGGGGGAGAAAAACGGGGGTGGGGGGCAATGCCTTAATTGATTGGTCAAGAACTGCAATGCCTGCATAGCTATACATTGAGCTAGCATATCAAGTCACCTGTGCGAAGCTGAAAAGGTACAGGCCTGCAGCTGGATGGGTGACCACATGTGGAAGCAGAGCAGGGGTTTAGCCTTGAGGACTCTACTATTATCCTATTCTACTCTGTTCTATTCCTATTCCTATTCCTGTCCTGTCCTGTCCTACCATATAGCCGCTTCCTATTGTTAGTAATAGCAGATCAGTGATCAGTTGTCAAATGGTGACTGTTTGATCAGTTATTCATATAATCTGTAGGGTTCAAATACAGATGCAAGAACTCAAAGAGGCTAGAAAGCATACATGATCACTATGTGCTTCTTCATTCAAACATTTCCAAAGGGGCGGCCATGTTCTTCTATTCCTGAAAAACAACAAAGAGTCAACGCATGTTAAAGACTGACAAATATATTCTGGCATATGCTTTCGTGAACATTATCCACTTTATCTGAAGTGTCTGGTGAAGGAGAAAGTGTCCAAAAAAGCTCATGTCAGAATTTATTTGTCTTTAAGGTGTCACAAGATTATATGTTATTATAATTTAAATCCTCCAACAATGACATGGATTTTAATCTAATTTTGGCATTTTTTCTTTTATATTATGATTTTTCAAATGGTCTGACATGGAGAAAGTGTTAAATGATTTTTAAAAATGGCACCTCTAAGATAGTGAATACAGGGCCGCTGTTTCTGAGATTGCACTAAAAACAGAAACAGGCCACTGTTTGCAGAAATATTACGGCACGGGATATCTCACATCTTCTCCCCACTGCAGCCCTCCGTGCATTTTTCTAGTCTCCAGGGTGTTGGGGAACTCTCCAGAGAAGAACTGGAGGGTGTGCAGGAAAGCTACAAGGGGAAGCAAAAGATACACAACGTTCTGCTCCACGGGTTGCAGAAGCCTTCCACATGTGGTAGCCCACTGCTGGACCCAGCCCATTGATGAGTCTATATTTTAAAGACATATTAAAATACTTGTGTCTTGCTTTTCCTCTTACAAAGGAGTTCCAAGTCAGATTTTAAAAAATGAAATTAAAACATAACTGATTAAAATTATAATCCAAACCATAACAGCTACACATGCCATAAATGTTAAAATAAGAAGACATGACCGAGCCCTTCACCAGCAACAAAGGCCCTCTTGTCATCTCTTTACATGCAGTGAAAGGCAGTGATGGGGCCTGGTGAACCTTCCCTCAGGGGGCGTTCAAAGGGTGTTGGGGCCACAAAAGACCCTGCTCACATGCCTCACCAATGCGCTTCAGTTGCTGGTGGAATCTTTCATGTTGATCCAAGCAAGTATCACATAAGAAACAACCAACTTGCCAACTCTGGTGGGTATCATGTCCAAGGCAGAGGATGACTGGAGGTAGTGTGTTTCATACCTAAAAGTTTTGCAGACTGGAAAATAAAATAATGCTGGTCCCCCTGTACCTTGGAGTGCATTATGGAATCTGGAACAGATTCTGAAATCCAGTCTAGGTTTCAAAAGAGAACCAAATAGCAGGGCAAACCAAGTGATGCCACCAGACCATGCTAGGCCTTGCTATGGAAGTGCAGTGACCTTGGGAACATTCAGGGATTGATAAAATCAGTGAGACCAGCACCATGCCAGGCACAGAAACCCCCAGCACATCAGATGAGGGGCACAGCTGAAGAGCTGGTGTGTGTGAGGCCCCCGTGTTTGTAGGATGAGGCCTAGTGATGTCTTAGACCATGCCTCTGGACATTCACTTGGGTGCTGCTTGTTTATTTTGTTACTTGACCACCTATCTAGTGCATGTGCCCCTCCTTTCTTCCAAGGTTGCTTGGAGTAGCATACACAAATGATCATAATCAGTCCTTTCATTTCCACTATCCAGGGGTGGAAGCTGTAGTTCATAGAGCCAAAATGGTACCATCCACTATTGCAGAACAGTGGGATATAAATAGATACATAAGCCATGCACACACAAAGGAAGTCTCAGTTGGCTTAGGAAAACCCAAGTCTGCGTAAGTACCCCCCCCCCCCACCATGAGGAAAGAATCCTAAAGGGTTAGGAGATCCCACCCCTTCCCCATGACCCAATAATAATCAAATGGGCTTAATGGTCACAGAATTGACTGACTGCCTGACTGTTGGGAGGAAGAATAGGGCACCGGGTGGGAGGGAAAGTGGAATGGAGTATCGTCGAGGAAAGCGTGGCTGACCAAAAGCCAACTAGAGGCATTCCACACAGCAGCGTTGTACTGCAGATCTTGCTTGTCCTGTTCTAATAAACACAGGAGACTGGATCCAGAAGTCACTGAAATCACACATAATGGATATATCTTGCAGCAGCTCTCACTTCTAAGAAGCGTCAGGCCCAGCTCTAGGGCTGCATTTATCCCAGCCCAAAGAATTTTGAGATCACAATTCCAGAGCAAAATCCCTGCATGCATGGGCAGAAACAGTGGGGCCATTTGGCCCTTTGAGTCCAACTGTTGCTCAGTACAGACCTCCATTTTGAAGCCCCTCTGGCAAATGGCTGTCCACTCTATGCCTGAATACCCCCACCAGGAGAGAGATCAGCACTTCCCCATGTTCATCATCTGATAGCTTTAAATGGTAGGAATTTCCCCACCCCAATTTTCAACTGAAATTTGCCTTCCTGTTCCTTAAGCCCATTATTTTGTGGCCTATCTTCATAGATAAAACACGTAACAGGTTGTGTGGCCTTCTTCTGTGTGACAACCCATTAGGTACTTGAGAAGTGCTGTCATATCTCCTCTCAGTCGTCTCTTCTCAAGCCTGAACGCATCCAGTTCCTTCAATCTTTCCTCATAGGACTTTACTTTCTAGTAGCGTATGGCATGTTTTGCAATTGACAGCACTACCAGAAAATGCTTTCTCCGCTCTCCTAAAGTCACTACTAAGCTGTCTGATGCTTTCATCATAATATTTACTTCTTAGTAAATGGGCTAAAAATCTTCACTTCTGATTCAGAACTGAAAGATTAGAGAATGAAAAGAGCGAGATGACATGGCTGTTTAAAAGACCATGCAAAATGTTTTCTGCCTAGCATAAATATTTAATTGTAAAAAAAATGGCAATCTGTTGTGTTTATTAAGGAAGGGATGCAAAATGTGAGCTGAGTGCAGGGTGGGGCTGGTTGGCTTTGCTACCACAGATTCCATCTCTCTTGAAGATTATTTGGTGTACTCCCAGGTCCCAGGCCAATGTAACGCTGGTGGGCTCATCTGGAATGTCCTCATGAGAACTCTCAGGGGACACATACTGAAGAGGCAGTAGAAGCGAGTGGGAGAGCAGTGGGGCAGTTCAAACACCAGCCCGAGAGCACCACCTCTATCCCCAGGTACACTACAGTTCGAGGTCAAAGGATGCCAGGGCCAAGTTAGCACACTGAAGCAACCCGCCATTTTGAGATGGCCTTCTCTCCATGCCCTGATGCCAAGAGTGCCTGTGCTTGCTGAGCATCATCACACTCAGAAGGCCGAGGGAGGTCTGTAAGAATAGCACAGGCAGTGCATGTGAATGTGAGAGTAGTGGGCAAAATATATGGAAGCATCCCTCAGTCAAACCATCCATCTACTTACAAGGCTCTTCCATGTAAATGGCTTTTCTGGATTTTACAAGTGGAAGTAGCTTCTTGTGTACAAATTACCATGAGAACCAAAGAGGAATAAAGTGAAATTTGTAGACGCAACAACAACAGACTAGTTTTGTATCTCATATTTTACACTATGTGATTGTTAGCAGAAAAAAAAAAAATGGGGTTTCCTTTCCTCAGTCATACCAGAAGTGCAGCCCCT